AGCCAACAAACGCGGTGTGATATATATGTCCGTCCCCTTGTCCCGTGTCCCAAGGTCCTGTCCTGTCCGGCTGCCCGGCCCCCACCACCCCACGCCCCCCGGCTCCCCACCCACCGCTCCCTTCCTTCCCCTGGAGTGTTCCAGTCTGAGTACGAGCGGTGGGAGAGTCTGACTCTGCAGCGCACTCTGGACAAGATGGAGGATCTGGTGTACTGCCCCCGATGCAGGTAGGGGGAGGGGAGGGAAGGAGGGAGAAGGGAAGGGGAGGGAAGGGGAAGGGAAGGGAGGGGAAGGAGGGGGACAGGGGTTCCTCGCTTTCAGAGGTGTGTGTGGGGGGGGGGAGCGATTGGGGGGAAGGGCGAAGTGTTGGCCGCCCGCTCGCCCCTCGCCTCCACCTCCCCACTTCGAACCGCGGGCTCCAACTTCCCTGTCTCCGCCCTCCGCCCCCCCCCCCCGACCCCGACCCCGACCCCGACTCCCCCCTCCCCTCCTCGCTCCAGGGAGCCCTGTCTGGAGGACCGCGACCACTGCACGCTGTGTCCCGGCTGTTTCTTCTCCTTCTGCTCCCTGTGCGAGGAGTCATGGCACCCGGGGAGGTGAGGGGAGGGGGTGAGAGCGAGTCGGATGAGGGGTGGATTGGGTTTACAGAAGGAGGCGGGCGGGGCACAGCGGTGGCCGGAATGGGGCTATGGGGGAGGGGAGGCAGGCGCGCGCACGTGTGTTTGTGTGGCTGGTTGGTTGCGCTTGGCAGCCAGGGGGATGGCGGGGTGACGGTGGTGGGGGTGGGTGCGGGACAGTCCGAAATAGCGAATGGCTGATTGCTACACCCAGTATCATTTCTGCATTTACGCGTCTCCCTAACCCTTCCGCTTCCCCCCCCCACCCCCCACCCACTCACACCCAGCACCTGTCTGGACCCCGAGGCCCGGCTGGCACTGCTGGAGGAGCGGCGGGCGGTGTGCGGGGAGGGGCGGGGAGGGAATGCACTGGAGCGGGCGCGCAGGGAGATCAACCGCCGTAACGAACTCAAGAGCCTGGCGCTGCTGTCGGTAGGGATACCGTAGGAGGGGCAGACTGCCCCTGGCTGGCTGGCTGCCGGGCGGGGGCCGGGGGGCAGGGGAAGGGGGCGGGCGCGGGCGAGGCGAATGAGGGTTGTTTTAGGGCTGTGTGGGATTAAGGGTATATTCGAGGGATGGGACCGACGTGCGGGTGTGCTCAAACCTGGAAGGGGAAGGGGTGCTTCAAGCCACCCCAACCCCCAAGCAGGGCGAATCCGCAGCCGCGGCGACGGGACTGAGGCGACGTTCGGCGAATGGATGCAGCACTAGCTCACCTCACGAGACGCACCGGCACCTGTTACCTTATACCCCACACCGGGCCTCCCGCAGTGCACCACCAAAGCCCTGTCCCGCTGTCTGGGTCCCGCCCCGGCTCTCTCTCTCTCCCTCCCTCCCCCCCGGCCTCCACGTGTATAACCCCCCTCCCTTCCCCGGTACCCTCCCTTCCCCCTCCCCTCCTCTTTCTCAGAGCACCACCCAGCAGTGCCCCATGTGCTCCATGGGGGTGGAGAAGACCGAGGGATGCAACAAGATGACGTGCGCCTACTGCGGGGCGTACTTTTGCTGGCGATGCAACAAGGCAGGGCGGGGCTGGGCTGGGCAGGGCTGGGGTGACGTGGGTCAGGGGGAAAAAGGCGTGGGGAGGAAGAGGGGAGGGAGGAGTGTGAGGTTGGGGGAAAGGCGGGGCTGTCTGGCCGGGGAAGTGGGGCTGGCTTGCTGGCTGGGCCGGCCGGCCGGCTGGCTAGCTGGCTGGCTGGGCGAGCGGTGGATTAACGGTTTTTTTTGGGGAGGGAGGTCTGGGTTGCACGTGTCCACCTGACACGAGCTCCTGTCCGCTCCTCCCTCGAGCTGTACCCGCCCCACCCACCCACCCGACCCTGTGTCTTCTTTATTACCCACCCTGACCCACCTGTCCACCCTGACCCACCCACCCACCCCCTGTTTTCAGGTGATCAGCGGCTACGACCACTTCCAGCAGACCCCCGGCGGAGAGGGCGGCTGTGTGCTGTTCGAGCAGCAGGAGATCGACCGATGGAACGCGAGGTGGCAGGCGGGTGAGTGAGCGAGTGGGTGGTTGGGTGAGTGGGTGGGTGAGCGAGTGAGGGAGCGAGCGAGTGGGTGAGCGAGTGAGGGAGCGAGCGAGTGGGTGAGCGAGTGAGGGAGCGAGCGAGTGGGTGAGCGGATGAGTGAGGGAGCGAGTGGGTGAGCGAGTGAGGGAGCGAGCGAGTGGGTGAGCGAGTGAGGGAGCGAGCGAGTGGGTGAGCGAGTGAGGGAGCGAGCGAGTGGGTGAGCGGATGAGTGAGGGAGCGAGTGGGTGAGCGGATGAGTGAGGGAGCGAGTGGGTGAGCGGATGAGTGAGGGAGCGAGTGGGTGAGCGAGTGAGGGAGCGAGCGAGTGGGTGAGCGAGTGAGGGAGCGAGCGAGTGGGTGAGCGGATGAGTGAGGGAGCGAGTGGGTGAGCGAGTGAGGGAGCGAGCGAGTGGGTGAGCGGATGAGTGAGGGAGCGAGTGGGTGAGCGAGTGAGGGAGCGAGCGAGTGGGTGAGCGGATGAGTGAGGGAGCGAGTGGGTGAGCGGATGAGTGAGGGAGCGAGTGGGTGAGCGAGTGAGGGAGCGAGCGAGTGGGTGCGTGAGTGGGCTCGCCCTCCTTCGGCGGTTATGGCGGTTCATCTATCCATCACCCCCACCACCCCCCTCGTTACCCCTTGGTTGCAACCGCGTCCCACCGAACCGACACGCAGGCGGCCGAGCGGTGGAGGTGGAGCAACGGGGCGCCTTCGTTGGAATGCTGCTGCAGCACGACAGAGAGGTGCAGGTACGACGTACGGCGCATGGATCTGTGTGTGTACGGCCTAACTCCGACCCTAACCCTAACCCCGACCCTAACCCCGACCCCGACCTCGGCCGCGCGGTGCCCCTCGAAGGTGCGTCTGTGTCACTGCGTGGTGTGCGGTCAGCGCAACATCAAGGAGGGCGGCAACAACAACATCCGCTGCTGGTCCTGCAACTCCCACTTCTGCTACCTCTGCCGCACCTGGCTGAGAACCAAGCCCGGGGCGCACTTCGGGCCGGGACGATGCCGCCAGCACTCGGACGACTGACGGACAGAGGACTGGGGCGGCGGTGTTGGTGGGGGCGGGGGTGGCGGAGGTGGTGGTGGTGGTGGTAGTGGTGGGAGGTGGAGGTGGTGGTTGGAGTTGATGGTTGGAGGTGGTGGTGGTGGCGGCGAAGGTAACGGCGATGAGGGATTGGACGCTCGGGCGGCTCCTCGGCACTGTCGGCGGCATTCTCAACAACGGCAAGGGCTGTTGACGTTGTCCGTCGGGTGTCGGCTCGTCGTGTGTGTTTCTTTCTTTCTTTCTTTCTTTGTGGGTGGGCAGCCGCGAAGCGCTGCGTTTTTTCCTTGGTCTGCGACGATTGGAGGGTTCCGGACAGGAGGGAGGAGGGGGGCTTTGTTGCCCCTGACTTGCGGAGATGTGTCCTCCGCGTAAGTACATCCCGGCAAAGTCCGACGTGCGTGCGCATGTGAGCGGTGTGCGTATGCTGTCTGCCTGCCTGTATGTCTGTGTGTGCTCGCGTGTGTGTGTATGTGTGTGTGTGTGTGTGTGTGTGTTTTGAGGCCGTACCGTTTGTTGACGAGGCCTGCGCTTTGGACCTGACCCCAAACACACGGCGGCAAGGTTAGGGCGCCTGGCAGGGCTGCGATGTCCGATGTGCCCAATGGGCCCGATGACCCGATGTGTCCGCGATGCTGCAAGCGGTGAAAGTTGCTCTCCGCTGGAAGCGAAAAGCTTGTGGGCGGTGGGTCGATCGACCGTGAAGACATGCGGCACGGTATGGTACGGCATGGTACGGTATGGTACGGCATGCCTGGCGGCGGCAGCGATGGGGTTGTTCAGGGTGACGGCACGGTGTGTGTGTGTGTGTGTGTGTGTGTGTGTGTAACTGTTACATATCTGCCGGGCCGGCACTGGCCGGGGGCGCTAACCCGCCCACATACGGGAGACCGCCGAAGCACTCCTCGGTTGAGGAGGGGCGTACCACCTTGTCTGCACACTGCACCGGGAAGTGCTAACCGCTGCGCCGTAATCGTCACAGGACAGCGTCCACCTGATTGTGTGTGTGTGTGGAGCAGGCGTTTCGAGGCCCCTCGTTCCGCTGCCACGACGGTCCCGATCCAGATCTAGATCCAAATCTAGATCCAGATCCAGGTCCCGGTGTCGGCGGGAGTGCAGTGCAGCGACGGTTGCGGCGCAGGGGTTCCAAGTGCGCCGGTGAGCCGGTGAGCCCGGGACAACACCGCTCTGTTTCGCTGATCCTCGCCGCTGCTGCTGTTCTTGTGGTTGTTGTTGTTGTTGTTACGGTGTGTTGCTCCAGACGCTCGTAAAGGAGCAGCCAGCGTTTACAGGCACACCGCACACACCGAAACGAAACGTCACCTTACAAAGGACCCAAAAAGGATCACCGGTACACCAGACAGACACCTGCTCTGTTCCGGAGTCGTGGAGGCCACTGAAACAAACGCAACACAACAACACAACAACACGACCTGCTGCGGTGAAAACTGGGCACAGCCGCATCACCGTTGTTGGTGTGAGGGATGCGGGTTTCAAATCAAAGTCAGGGCTCAGGGGACCAGACCGGTCGGGACCCACGGATCGCGGCCGAACGAACGGGGGCAGAGGTTGGGGCCCGAGAGGCAGGGGATTGCAAGGGGGAGGGGACTGAGACAAAGGGCGGCACCGCCGAGCAAGGGAGAGTAGGGAGGGGTGGCTAGCGGGAGGAGGGACCCAGGGCCTGCGGAAGGGGGAGGCGAGGGGAGGCAGCGAGGGATTTCGGAGGGGGGGAGGAGGGTTGGGGAGAAACAGGGCACAGTACGCCTATTAATTAAGATAGATGCTTAGTAAGTAGGCATCAAGTTGTCGTCCTCATCTCCATTCTTACGCGGCTGTGCCCGAGTGGTCTAAGGGGCCAGACTTGAACACATCACACTGTCAGGCATCTGGTGGCATTTGCCTCACAGGTTCAAATCCTGTCGGTCGCGGCGTCTTCTTATTGTAGGGCCCATCCGGGCCACCCACCTCGCCCTCTCCTGCGGCGGGCGGCGGGCGGCACCCATTAGGGAGGACAGCATGCGGGACCAGAGGGTACCTCCCTCCATGGCTACCTGGTGGGCAGCGAAGCTGGGGACTGCCATAGCCTACTGGGACTGCTGCAGGCCAAGGGCAGCTCCCCCTTTCCTTTCCTTTCCTCCCTCCTCCGGGTTTGTCCACGAACACGTGACGGAGTTGAGGGGCGGCGGCGAGGGCGGTTGCGGCTGTGGGGGTTGCTTCGACCACCGCTGGGGCACTGGAGCAGCGGTGGCATCCGCGGCTCGGGGGAGGGGGGGAGCTGCGGGGTTACGAGAGCGGGTTTTTGTACTGGCGGAGTGGCGTTGCCCCTGGATGGCTGGGATGGCGACAGTGCGTGATCAGGGGCAGCTTCGTTGTTGCATCTCGGGAGGGGCACTGATCGGATCCGGCTCCAGGGTTGGGTATGCGGGCCGGTGCTGTGCGGCCGCCAGCAGCGTTGTCAAGGTGTGCATCATCGTGCGCGAGCCCCGGCTTGCGTGCTGCACTGCCGTATGGCCGGTTGGTAACGAAACAACGGCATAATGGACGGAGATCAACTAGGGCTGCCGACGCGCTGGATATCATCGTGAATGGAAGAGGAGGAAGCCGGGGCATGGAGAGGAGAAGTGGCAAGTGCAATGTTTTTCCCCGGATGCTCGGATCAACCGGTGCGCGGGTTTCAATAAGCTTTTCAACATACAGTACAATCTCTTTCAGGGTTGTTGAAGATACTTATAGATAGTATTGCCCTCGCGTGGGCCTGAAATGATGACACTACCTTCGCTCGCGACGCTCGGGAGACCGGATCGGAAAGCTGCTTGCCCGAGCCAGGGCCTTCCCATCATCTACTGAAATAAAAGTACTTGAGGTTTTGAATTGTTACATGTTATCAGACCTTGCCAAACGCGCACCACGTACTAACCAGAACAACGCGAAACGCATTAGTGATATGCGACGACCGTCGTACAGAAAGTAACAAAAGTTGCGACCGAGAGCTCCATCGCAACTGTAGTCAACGCGAACCTCAAACCACAACTGCATCGATGGAAGCTGTGAAGGAGCATTGATCGCGCTCGAAGTTGGCCAAACCCAACCAGTCCTTTCTCTTGAATCAGGCTGCAAAGGGATGGATTTCTCAGACCCTGATCTCGTGGCGAGAGCCTATGTCATGCAATGGATGCACGAAAACGGCCTGCACAACGGTACGCCGAGGGACGCCGCCTCGGGGAACCCGCCTGTCCCGCCCGCCTCAGTCTTCCTGGAAACGCTGCCCCCTTCCCACTCAACCCCGCCCGCAATGCTCCCCGCCGTTTCACCCAACCAGCTCTCAAGGCACTCGAGAAGGACCTTGGCCGGCTGTACGATGATTCGCAGCTTCCCGAGGCTTCCCAGCTCATGCAGGCAAGACGAGACTCTCGGCCGAGACGAGTTCTTGTTCTGCTCGTTTGGCCCCCCGCCTCGCCCGCTCCGTTCTCATCCCGCTTGCGCCTCCCTTCTTACCATGACCCCACCATGCCCCACCATGCCCCACTAACCGACGGAACCAGCTCGTTTGGCGACATGTGGAGGAGCGGCTTCAACAGCAGCAGGAGCTGGAAGACGAGGACGAGGACCCGGACGCAGGCGCTGGCGGCGGCGCTGAAGGCGCTGGCGGCGGCGCTGGAGGCGCTGGCGGCGGCGGCGGCGGCAGCTCTCGGTCCCGTCGGCGGCAGCAGCAGGAGGAGGCTCTGCAGCTGCTCCGTGCCGGCTGCGACGACTACGCGGGCCGGGCGGTGGTGGCGGAGGTACCGGTGGAGGTGCACAGAGCCAATGTCATTGCCGTACGGATGGTTCCGGAGCAGGACTGCGTGATCACCGCCGCGGGTGCGGGGGGTTGCTTGGGGGATGGGGGAATGGGGTGGGATTACACCAAAGAAGACGCGTATGTGCGTGCGCGTGTGCATGTGTATGTGCATGTGCATGTGTATGTGTATGTGACGGGGCGGCGGCGGTGTTTCTGCGACGCATCAAACCCCCAAGGACCCCAAAGGCACCCCGGGCTCTCCTTCCTACCTCCTGCAGGGGACGGCTGCGTGCGCTGCGTGCGGTACGGCAGCCTCGGCGGCGGCGGTAGCGGTGGGGGGGCAGCGGCGGCGGCGGCGGCTGTGGAGGTGGTGTGGCAGACGCGGGTGGGCAGTTCGGCGCTGCTGTCGCTGGCACTGCACCCCGACTACTGGTGGGGAGGGGGAGGAGGGGGAGGGAACCTGGGGTCAGTGGAGGGTTGTCTCTCCCCCAGGGATGGCTGAATGTGGGGCTTCCCATGCACATCCTCCCGACTGCACTGCACTGCACGGTACTGTACTGCACTGTACTGCACTGTACTGCACTGTACTGCACTGTACTGCAATGTTCTGCATTGTTCTGCACTGTACTGTACTACGGATGAGGGATCTCCCTCGGGTCAGGTCAGGAAAACGGGTGGTGTCGTTGGGCGTCTCCGAAGCGGCGTTGGACCGCTGACGCTGACGCTGACGGTGGTGGTGGTGGCGGTGTTGTTGTTGGCGTTAGCACTGGCCTCCGTGCCTTCGTGCCAACTCCTCCCCCTTCCTCCTCTCCCTTCTTCCCCCTCCTCTTCCCCCTCCCCCAAACCCCACCACCAATGCACCGCGCCGCAGCCGCGGCCTCCCCCTGGTGGCGGTGGGCGCCATGGACGGCCGCCTGACGGTGCTGCACGGCCCCACAGGCGCCACCCTGGCCACCCTCCAACCCCACAACAAGTACGTGGTAAGGGTAGCCTGGGCCCCGACAACAGCAACACCAGCAGCAGCAGCAGCAGCAGCAACAGGGATGCGGAACCCTACCAAACCCAACACCACCGATTCCGACGCCAGCCCCGGCCCCAGCCTCAGCCCGACGGCAGCAGCTGCGGCAGGCAGCGCGGCAACAGCCCAAGAGGCAGGGCTGAAGACGACGGCGGTGGCGTGTGGGGACAGCGGCAGCGGCCCCCGGGCGGTCTCCCCGGGCCCGCAGGGGATCCGGTGGCCGGCGCTGCTCCTCGCAACTGCCTCAACGGACGAGACGGTTACCATCGTACGACTGGATTTGGATCTGGATCTGGGGACTGGGTTGAACGGGCTATCGGCGGCGGCGGCGGCCGGGGCCGGGAGGTTGAAGACAGTCCGGCAGGTGCGGACGAGGGGAGTGAGTGAACCAGCCAGCGATGGGCTTTGCATCGCTGGGTGCCTGGCGGTTGCTGATGTTGTTGCGGTAATTGTTGTTGTTACGGTGGGCTCCAGGATCTTGCATGGGGTTGAGCAAGAGGCAGAGGGCCGGCAGAGGGCCGTTCGTGCACTGCACTGCACAGTGCCAAGGCGACCAAAAGGCCCTGTGCTATGTGTCGTATGTGCCCAGTCGCGCTGCGCCACCCTGCGCTCATCATCCGATCAGATCTTACACCTGATCTGACACCTGATCTGAACTGATCTGATCTGACAGCAGCAGCCTCGCGCCGGACCTGATCTCAACTCGCAGGTTCCATACGGCGCTGCCGTGACGGACGTCGCCTTCCTGCCTGAACGGCGACCTGGCGCCCGGGCCACGACCCCGGCCGGGGACCCGGCGCCGACCTCGACCCCGACCCCGACTCCGGCCACGGCCACGGCAGCTGCCGCTGCCGCTGCGGGCGATCCGGCGGCCCCCGTCAGCCTCACTCTGGTCGTCGCCGTCCGCGGCAGCAACTATCTGCGGCTGCTGGACGTGGGCCGGCTGGTGTGGCAGGTGCGGGTTTGCCTCCTGCGTGTGTGTGTATAGTGGCGACGGTGGCTCCTCCTCCCCACCCCTTCCTGCCTCACTCCCTCACCTCCCTCCCCTTCTTCCTTTCCTATTCGTCTTCTTTTTTCCTACACACGGCGCTCTGGCGGTGGTGCAGGAGGAAGCCTCCGCCTCGGCCTCGTCCGGCTCCGGTTCCGGTTCCGGCTCCGGCGCTGCTGTGCCCACCTCGTCATCCTCCTCCCCGACGGCGGCGGTGGCGGTGGCGGCAGCTGCGGCCGGCGGTGGCGGCGGCCCTGTCCCGGAGTCTCTGGTCAACCTGAACGAGTCGGGCGACGACCACGTGTCCTTCACAGCCAAGCACCTGGTGGCATCGCCCTGCGGGAGGTATCTGCTGGTGGGTCCCTCCAGGGAGGGTAGGGAAGGGAGGGAAGGGAGGAAAGGGAAGGGAGGGAAGGGAAGGGAGGGAAGGGAAGGGAGGGAAGGGAAGGGAGGGAAAGGGAAGGGAGGGAAGGGAAGGAAGGGACTGTCCAACCCTTCCCTTCCCCTTCCAGGGCCGCCTCGGTTTCTCTTCGCTGTGGTTCCCCTTCCTTACCTGCCCCCTCCCCTTCCCTTCTTACCCTTCTGACCCTCCCCTGTTCCCTCCCTTCTTACCCTCCCCTACTGTTTTCTCCACCTACTGTTTTCTCCACTCCCCCTCCCTCCCCCTCTTCAGGTGTGCACGGATACTCCCCGGCAGCTGGTGTTGCGTACCTCCGATTGGTCCCTCCTTCGGGTGCTGTTCGGTCTGCCCGTGGACCAGTTCCCGCAGCCGGTGGCCGCCTGGCACCGAGACTCCAACTACATCTACGCAAGCGGCGCCAATGCGCAGGTTGTTTGGTTGGTTGGTTGATTTTAAATTACTTTACAAATTTAAATCGATTTAATAATTAATGATAATAAATTAAATAATTAATTTATATCATTAACTAATTAAATAAATTAAATAGAGTGTTGTCACAGGCCTCCCCTCCCAATCCGCCATGACGCCATACGACCCCTCCGCCACGACATCTTCTTTCATTTCCTCAACCATCCCCTGTGTTCCCCCTCTCCACCCACACGCACACATACCGGTACGCACCTCCGTACAGCTGTGTGTGTTTCATCTGGGCAGTGGCCGCCTGGTGCTCTCCACCACCCACCA